ATCATCCGCAAGTAAGCTGTTCTATCACTGATGCAGTCGGAGAAATATGGACCTAGCATGAGTCATGTTATGTATCACAAGCCAAAATATAGCTGTGGAACTAAAAACGTAATGTGTTTCGGTTGTATTACGTGGATTACACTCTGCTTAGTAACCTTGATTTTTCTGTTCGTTCCTCTATGCAGACACGAAACGGTCTCATAAGATCAGATTTAATCTATACAACCGGCAATGTCTGCGTAAAAACGGTGTGCATAAACCCCTCGGTAAATTCCACACCGTTCAATCAATCTAGTTCCTACATCACTTTATTCTTGAAAATTATTCGTGGCACGTATTGCATGCGAAAGTTAGCAATGGTTACTGGTTTCTCCAACCTCCCATTATCTCTCTTCAACAAGGAACTTGGCCGGCTCAGCTCTATGTACGCTCATGTTTGGATTGACAATAAAGACGGTGAATGAAAATGCAGTTTAGCCAACACGCTTATCTTCCGTGACCAAACAAGTGGCTAATATGTCACTTTTGTATAACATCATTTTGTGGATAACGTTCTACGAAATAACCGTCCGAGGGAAAGACTTTAAAATGAAGAGAAGAAGCCAGTATGCATCTCTCTCCCACTCAAAGGGAATGTAATCGCAGACGTCGTTAGCGGCAAACTAAGAACTGCGAGGGCGAATATCTTTCATGCGGCAAAAGTACATGTCATAATCACGCCTAGACCGATCTGGTGTTTGCAACTCAACGACAGGATTCCTTACTCTGCAGTCTCATTTTGTGTGTACCTGTTTACGTGTTCCTGTAGAGCAGGCGCCTATCCAAACGAGTTGTGGAACATCGTCCGGCCTGGTTGATCACTGATGTACTTAAAACTACAAGTTCCATCGTTTCACACCTCAACGAGTCAAATCACACAGTGAGTGTGCCTAAAGCATTTCGGCCTCTCTACCATGTTCGGGTTCGTAGCTCAAAACCGATTAAAAACTCCATCCTAGCCAACGCAGAAGTGGCTGGAATTCGTCTACATAATTCCCCCTTGTGCGCCCAAAAACAACTTGTAAAGTCACTCAAGCTTCCATGACCCTCCACCTCTCATCCTCTCTCTCTCTCCTCCTCCTCCTCCTCTCAATCCCATCCCAAATCAGGACGTAACACGGACCAAGCGTAAGTTGCGATGGTAGGATCAGCATATCCGATTTTAAGAAACTGGGACGGTAAACAACAAAATCAACAAAAATTTCCATTTGAATAATCATTATTTTGTTTCCTTTTTTTGAGACAAATGATGTTATATAAAACGTGACACATTAGCCAGTTGATGAGTCACCGAAAATAAGCTTCTTCGCTAAACTGCATTCAATGTGTGCCACTGGTATATTCCGGGAGTAAAGACTGTCGCGACACTTGGCAAGCCCTCGTACTGACTTCGGGCAACAAATCCGCACACCGCCTCTCTGACGTGGAAATTGACGGTTCAAATTAGAGCTTCGCTAACACCGAGTCAGAATTCTCTGATGTGAATATCGTCAATCGGACTGCTGTCCTTGCTGTTGTCTACCACTATGACGAATCTAACCGCCTAAATGCGAAAATGTCAGAGGACATTGACGATTTTCGTCAGACATCCTGCCGGAATGTACAACCTACCTTTTCCATGCACCGTCTGAACCTTCCAACCGTATTCGTTGGCAGCAAAGCGTTCTAAACCGTTGGAGAGTGGTTTCAATCAGCTCTTCCAAATTTCGTCCCACTGCCTACACCTTGTTTTTAAAGGCTCCTGCTCAAAAGTTTATCAACCCCATGTAATGTTGATGACCAACACCAGTTTTCATTACATATTCTCGCGATACTCTGGGTGCGCTTGCATACATCTCCCACGTCATTTTATACAGCCTGGGTAAGTAAAGAAGGGCTTTCTGAATATGTTTTCCAAACTACAGTGGAGCCTTCAATATGAAGCAAAGGTGATTGTTGTTCAAAATTGTTTTTTTTTCCGGCGACATTTTACCTCCAATGATTGAATTCTCTACTAATTAATTACACAACCCTCAGCGGATTACACGTTACCAATGCCAAGCATCTGCTGATAGCGTAATTAACGGACCTATAATGCTGTGATTTCGGTATGTTTACTCATAAGGTTGCATTTTCTCATTAGCATAAAACCTCTCTGAGTGCCTCTTTTGCTGGTACTAGACCCTGTCGCTAACAGGACTCAAGCTGGAGGCCATCCCTTGGTCGACACACACGTTATCCGTACACTATACACGCACCGCGGACTCGTTTATTCTTTACCTCAATGCTGTCCGCTGATATGCATACCTCTGATTAACACCGCCTCTCAGCATCGCATTCCGATTTACTAACATTTAATACACCTTATCCCAACCCATTGCGATTTACTTCTCTGTCATTTTATGCCGGACATGAAGTGTATTCTAAGCCTTTTCCATGCCATACCGGAACCTCTCCCAATCTGAATTTCACTGCTGCGCTACTGTTACGCTTAGCTGTTTGCCGGGTAGACCTTGTTTCTATCATTGTCGTCACAGACTGTTATTGCCGTCCTGTAATTTGGTTGCTTACCCGGCTGTAAGTTACTTTTCCTGTTTCATTATTATTGTATGATTTTAGAACCACGACTGATACCACTGTCGATAAACACTGCTACTTTATTGGACTTTGTTCTGCTGCTCATGGCGGTGCTCTATTCATATCAAGCGTACAGTTATAAAAACTAAGTTACCGAGGAATTTCAGTCTGCTAAGGCGTGACAGCACAACTGATGTACATTACTTTAATTCAGTTTTCATTTTTTCCTTAAATTTCCTATATGCCTATGACAAATTACCCCTTCTTTGCAGTATGTGGATGACATAACATTTGGCTTACCCGACCCCAAACTCATAATCCTAGATTATTCTGCAGACTGGCATGGCGAAAACCTGCGACTGAGTCTTGAGAATAAACCCGTATAGTTTTATGCTCCTATTTTCTCACATTTGGAAGGTCACAAGTAGGATAAACTTTCAAATGCCAGTCACTTTCATTGACCAGATGGATAGACTAGTATCTTGGCGTAGTCTTCCACCATGATCTCACCTGATCCGATTACTTCACGAATGTGTTCACAAAAACCAGAACACTTACGTCTTGTGTTTTGCGTTTTCTGTCACACATTCCATTCCTTCTCATCTTATGAGGTGTTTAGTTATGGTCTGCTTTCGCACACACCGTTTCTCACAAATTCCGAACTCGTTTGTAATCTTGCCACAGTACTATGTTACACTGATGATTGTTGTTCTTTTTGGAATGCCATTGATTTTATACCTTTCTTAAATTGGTAATACTTTTACCATTTTGTTCATTGTTTGACGCACAGGGAATAGTTGGTTGCTAAATATTCACCCGCCAAATGCATCTAGCGTCTATTAGAGTTGATTCGACTTGAGTTCAAACGCCAGTTCCAGCGGTTTGGGTTTCGAGACTGTTCCATAAAAATTGCAGTAATTTTCGTTCAGTATCTGAGACATCAATCAGATATGAATGTTTCACCCGGATCATCTTGTTTGAACTAAGTTATCTTACTTTTTCATCGTTAATTTTGGCGGCGACAGCCGTATCCATAAGTGCGAAAAACCATAAAACCAGCATGTACGTGTTTGTTTAAGTTCGCCCTTCCAATGTACCTCACCCAATGCCCCTATGCGACCATGGGGAAGCGTTTCTCCCTCAAACTGGGAGGATAAAACCCAAAACCTGGGGTCATAGTCGAGGTGGTTAACCATTGGCAGACCCCTCCTAGGGGGTTGACTAAAACCCTCATCCCAAACCAAATAGGAGGAGGCATATGAATTTGTTGTTATTGCGGCATTGGTTACCGGCTTGAGTGGGCACCGGGCACAGGACGTCTGATATCATCTAGGGAACGTATGATCTAATGAATTGGACACCGCAACCACCCCACGCACACCCAATGGAGCTCGGTTTTGGCAAGGGGAATGGATGGATTGTGGATTCCCTTAGGCAACCTGGCAGTACTAACAAATGATAGCTGTTTTCTTTGTAATGAAACATTTATTCTTCAGTGGCTTTCTGGCACAGTCTATACTCAGACAAGGGGAGATATATATTCTTTGATCATTTTGGTAAATGTTCAGCATTTTGATCGCCAATGTTTGTCTTATTTCGAATGGAGAACTTGGTCGTAAAACATTTGATTGATCCTCCTCTGCAGGCTTCTCTCATTTCATTCCCGTAGAATTCTCATGTTTGTTTTTTATGATAGTCTGCATTTTTCATTCTTGTCGATGGGCAAGCCCAAAGTGGTGATTAATTGTCTTCATTGCATTCCATATATGAAATCTAGTGTGCTGGTATGAACCAGCACGAACGTTTTCTATCGCTTCCGGTCCAGATAAAGGGAGTGACCTATCGATGAATTGCTCTCGTATCCTAATGTAAACTTCCCATGCATTGTCTCTTTTGCGTCATTTATTGTTTCTTTTCTTAAAATTTATTTCACATGTGCACATTTTTTCCTGAAGTTAAGGCATTCAAACTGACAGAAGTCATGCCAAATATAATACAGGTTCGAATAAAAAATGTCATTTCATTTTTAACCGAATACGCCACTTTTTTACACTTCTTTGGTTTGGTATTCAACATGTACACCTATATCAGTCTCAAAGGAAACGTTTGTTGATAGACTGATGAGGGAATTTTCTAAGACAAACTAGCGAAAGCTCAACCAAATTTATTCTCCAGTTTATTGATCGATCTGAATAATCTTGCATAGGTTTCTTGGAAGTGTTGCAAGCTAAGCAGTAGTTTCGTTTGAATCAGAATAGGATGAGGTAGATAGAGTGGAGATATATTGAGGTTGTTTATTTGAAGGCGCGGGATTGTAGTGACTATATGTTGGGCAAAGTCATTATTGATTTGGTAAAACAAATCACCAACTATCTGACTGGTATCCGGGAAATGAGAAAGTGTCTTCATGACCAAAGCTGATCTGTGTGCGATGTAACATAAAGATCATCAGTACCGTTTCCGACTGGATCAATCCCCTCCAGTTCGATGACGGTGACATCATTGGAACCAGCTCGGAGGAATGGTCGTGGCACATAGAGACGGTGCTGCGGTCCGCGTTTCGTATCAAATCGTCCCAGGTTAATCCCGTTCACGATCAGCAGACCCTGACCGACAAAACAATGGTAGATCAAGTGAAAATTGATTTTGTTATAGTTTGAGCGCTGATGTAAAAATGACGATTAATTCAACTACCAGGAGAAACAGCTTTTCACTTCACGTCATTTTCCCTACCCATGATTGAATTCGTCATATGTATTATCCGGTTGGCTTGCTTTATATGTTGGCCTAGTCCCACAGAAGATTTTCAGAACAGCCCACTGTGGTGAAGAAGCTCATTCCGGTGGAACTGTGTGTATATTGGCTGCACGAACAGGCGCTTATCTGATCGCATTCGTGAACACAGCATAGTTCAAGTCGATACCTATTGGGGTAACAAGGAGGAAGATATGTTCAAACCCAGATCTGCCATTTCACTCAGTATCTCTAATCATTGATTACAGTAATCACGTGGACATTATTCAGGAAGCCTAATGCTACCTATATCAGTGGAGTATCCTGGTTAGAGTTTACATACCCTCATGCCAGGTCTTAGTTTGACCATTCTGAGCTTCGAACCACCTACTAATTGCCTCGATAAAGATCACGTGCCGTGGCAATCCATTTGTTGAAATGCGTCACTCATAACCCAACCACCGTAGTTTATGGAGGTCGACCACTTGCTCTAGTGGCCGACCGCGATTACCCAAAAGCTCTATACCTAACCTCAGCATTACTCGTCCGGTTGTCCCACTGGATTCGTGCAATGTTGCGTAGACAGTGGTGTCCGTACCCCACGTTGTGGAAGTATACTGGCTCAGTATATCTTCTCCAATACGAGCGTAACAATTTGAATTTTTGACAGTGTGATCGATTTCACACACACACACGCAATCCATCTGAGCCAAATCAAACTAGTAGGACTGCGATTTGTCAACCGAAAATGAGGTTCTTCGCCGTGCTATGCTCTACGTAAAAGATTCATCTGCTTCAAAAGTTCTCTTTTCCAAATCAGATGACGTTCAAAGTTCAATGAAAACAAAAGGATTGATGCTAAAACGAAGTCCATCATATCTTCGGTTTGATACGCCAAAAAGGTACGGCTACAGAAAAGTGATGCTTTGTGGAATCAAAGCACCCGTAACTTTATCGCAACACATCACAAACCAGTTCATGAGGTTTGGGTAGTCACCAGTTACTTGGAGCCACAGATACTGCACGATTCGTTAGAAATTATGTCAGTTCATTTACACCGTACGCCTGAGGGGTATGCGATAAGCACAGGTATTTAGTTTAGTTTTCAATAAACAGTAAAACAACCCTCGATGTGCTAATCCCTACATTTACTTGTGGTGACCTAAACCTGACTCATTGAGTGCATTCTGAATGAACTTCACGATTGGTTGCTGTCCCTTTTCATTGGGTTTACCATTGAAAAATGGGTTAATGTTGTTTTTACTGCGTCTCATAACTGGCATTTGTATGCATCTTTAGTTTGCTTGTCACCTCGATCGTGTTGACAGTAGACAGAACGTTCCCACATCTGACTCCACAAAATACCTGGGCTTCATTACCACCCAGAACCTTTCCCGATCTGTTTGTATTAGAAACGTATTAACAAAACTCCCGCAGTTACATGAAACTGTCCATTTAGCAAGAACGTATTTTGAAGCTTGTGATCGTTTACATCATTTTGCGCAGTGATTTTACTACTTGCAGTCATTTCTTCCTGGTTTAAAAGGAAAAAGATCCACCTCGTTACCTCAGTATCCGTTGAAATTACGTTTTGATTGTGTTTCAACAAATGTGGTGCATTTTTGCTTGGCTAACTCGAGATACAGAGCACTGTCTGCATTGGTAAGTCATGAAAGCGTTACTGAATCCCCGAATAAGCTCCAGCTGTCGAATTTTGTCTGTATCTACCGACGTCTATCTACACTGACAGTAACGTGCCTTAAACCGGCTGTGTCATGGTCGATCCCATGTCAGTTGTCAGTTGGATTGACAAAGATGCCCCTGCAATGGAATGTTTCGTGCACTACTATGCCAAAGTGATTTCTCGTATTTAACTCACAGTTACGGTGGATATGCACTACTGATGAGCTTTAATAAGAGCGAAACTCGAGTCTAGTGCTTCCCAGTGTATGGTTGAATCGATGAACTGAGGATGGTGCGTGCAGGTGAAGTCCGAAAGATGGTCAGTCAAATCAATCAGAATTATTTCTGTTCTTGTCAGATTATATATTAATCAAAATCTGCGTTGTCAATTCATCAACACGTGAAAACTCGTCCTTTGTTTTAAGTTGTTAACCAACTTACCTGAAATAACCAAGTTTCTAATCGCGTATCACCCCGCTCAGCATGCCCTTGTATTAATCACTTGGCTAGTGAAGCAAGACCAAATGCGATAGAAAACAGAAGCTTGCTGGAATTATCCTTTCCCCCCACCACAAATGATGAATAACTCATCATGATGAAATCAATAATTCTGGTTATCTGTGTCCAAGTTTCCACATCCTTCTTGGGTTTTCACGATTCTTTCTAAGCTGTAATGTAGATGATTTTCCTGCTTTCATCGACCATACTGAAATTCGCCTTCGGTAAGTTAACTTGGGTTTCACAGAAATGATTACACTAAACTAGAGCATATTCTTGCTCTCTGTTATTGGTTTTCTTCGTCTGGCTCTCAAAACAACCCTTGCTGATAGATTTGGTGTAGGAAGAGAAGGAGAAATTATCACTATCATCTGTTACCATTCGCTGACGCGTAATCAGTGTGGCAATCCGGTTTACCGTGTGTCTTCTGTGTTTCATATTATCGCTGTTATGAAGGCTTTGCCTGAATAACCTTTTATTGAATAATGAATGTTCAACGGGTTATCATTTTAACATGGCGAACCAACTTTGTTAGGACCACCTTGACTCTACTTTCAATCTGAATGTTCGTTCACTTCCAAATCTAGGCTAACTTCAGTTTGATTCCTCCTTTGCTTCGAAAAGCGATCGTTCACAGTAAAAATAAAACTCGTCATCCGAAATTCGACACTTAACCACTTGACGTACCCTTTTGAATGTGTCCATATGCAGATAGGTATCATGTCTGTTCACCTCCAAGTCTATATCAAGCGTCCCGCCGTATGTGGCACCAACAATTGGCCATATGGTTCCCGTTTTCGAACTGACCGAGAGTTGGAAAAACCAGAATAAATCACTTTGCGCTCGATTAACGTGTAAATAAAGCTACCGAGCCAAAAATCATGTGAAAACATATATTGGGGTGTGCAAATAAGAGGGTAGGAGTGGAAATGGGGATGGAAATCACAGCCATGTGCTGATGTACGGCTCAATGCATCTGGGTGTGCTTGACACGAGTGAGATCTGATTCGAGTGAACAAGCGCTTCTCCGCTTGACTGCAGAACATGAGACCTGTATGCTAAGAGTGTGGTCGCTTATAGGGCCACTCATCATGAGAGATTCTCTGGCTGATAAGAAACGAATCTGTCATTCAGAACAAAGACGAAATCCGATCATTTCAAACGACTGGGTTCACGCAAACTTGTTATCTGCTCGTTTGTGTGGTGATCAAAACTGTAGATGACAGATCGTGCATCAGCACCCAATTCGCCCATGTCCTTACCGTAGTTTGTACATTTTGCCAGTGGCTCTGACATCACTCCCGTTTTATAAACCACATTTATCTGTTTACCTAACATGAACTTCTCATTTCATGCCAAGACAGTGCAATTCGTTGTGATTTTGTCCGTAGAGGACGGAGAGATGTTGCAGTGATTAATTCCTTCTAATAAGCAAACGGTCATCGTTATGAAACCATCAGTTTGTACATTCAAACTAACGATGCCAGTATGTCAGTGCTCTACAGTTCAGAATTCCTCTGGCTGGATCTATCTGGTTTGCGTTAGGAGTGAGCTCGGACATCGTCTAAAAGCGGTCGCGTCAGGCTGCGCATGTTAACTAATCGGTGCAGAAATAGTACAGTCTCTACATCCCACAAAACCTGGTAGTAGTATCGGAAAACTTATTTGCCGTAATTTCACTAAGTGTAACGAGTAATTCTTTTTGCGTTTGATTACAGATAGAGAGCATAAGAGAAAGAACTGGGGGGGGGGACAATATATTGCGATATTTTGCTATGTCGTACGTATGAGAAATGGCATTTCCCAATGTCTTCTCACTGTTTTAGCAAACCCAAGTCTTTGGTATGCGTAAAACGTAGGTTGTGACTATGCAGTGTCGTCCCTTCCAGTATGTCGTAGTTCCTGATACCTACTCGCCTGGTCATTAACCGTTGACCAATCAAACTATCATGTCATATTCAGCCAATGACGATTGTGAGTAATAAAAACAGCGCTGACGTTGACCAACGTAGGCCGGGTGCACTAGCAACAACAAACACGAACGAACGAATGGATGTCTACAGACAACAATGATGCACATTTTCACCAGAAAATCATGAACAGATTGCGCAGAGAACAATCAGAGTCAATAATCTAGAGGGAGATGTCTATGTACTAAGTGAATCTAGAAAAGGATGTTTAACTTGTTTTACATGACGTGGTTTCCTGCGAATATAACTTTCCCAATGANGAATTCAGTTTCAGGTAAACAAGCGATTGGTTGGTTTGTCGGCCACTTGGATTCCATGCGATGTGAGCAGTCTTGGTGTCACTTCCGGAACATCTTTATTTCAATGCAGGGTTTTTCTTGTCTCCGATTCTACTTCTACTGTTTGTTTTCTCTATTAAGTCAGTTCTTTGGACGAAATTATGGCTACAGCCATTGCGACCGAATAATCTGAAAACATACTTTTTTCTTTCTTTTTGCGTGTATCAGTGCTGCAGTGTGTTTGGGTTCTTCCGAACATCGTCCTGTTCGGTTCAGTTCGGTGCCCACAACGTTGATGGCAGCTTGCCAGGTCGTCCAGTTTCTTGCACTGGTCAACAGCAAGAGTCTCCCGTGACTGCGACAATAGGGTTCATCTTCAATGGGATACACGTAGAAGGACGACTAAGAGAGTAACCCTAGACATAGTATCCCATTCAGAAGAAGTTTGTGCAGGGTCAATGTTGTTCACTGGCCCCTCCGATGGGTGAGTCGCACTAAAAACCTTGAAGGCCATAAGGATGAAAAAATAGGCCTAGAAGGAATAGTCTAGGGTTAGTAGATTATTGGAGAGAGGAAGTGGAAGCGGGGGTATAAGAGGGCTTTTGGAATGAAGAGCGGAGGGAGACGGGCTTCCACAGCATGACATGTAACCCTTCTCCGAAAAACAAACTAGCTCATATGTTATCTAAACGGTGTTTGAAGTCAGCCACCAAGGTGGTGGCGATGGCTTATTCGGTAGTTTATTCCAACAAGTTATGACTGTCACTGGAAAGTATGTCGCCTGCAGTCGACAGTAAACCCTACACTCGACCACTTTCAAGACTTTCCTCCGAAGTCAGATGATTTCATTTAGCTTCCGTATCATCTGCGAACCACACACACACACACACACACACACCGTCTGTGATCCCTGTGAGGATTTTAAACACCCTTATGACGTCTCCTCGCCGACTTCGAATCTCTAGTGAGAAGAGGTGCAGTACCTCCAGTCTCGTTTCATACGACAGTAACTTATTCTTCCGTATGGATGATTACTTTGAATTTTAGGATTTAATCCGCATGCAATGGTTTGCGGTAGAACATTGTATGCAGGCTTTCTGATGGCGTTCCGGTGATCAAGATGTTCAAAAATGCCCGTTGTTTGTCATTCTTCATCTCCAGTGTGAATTTGACGTCATTTAGTGTGTTTTGATAACATCGTATGATTAGTATAGATAAAACAGTTGTATAATATAATGGATGCCATAGACTCAATTCTGCGGTTAGCCTAAAATTTGAAAGGACTGGAGGAATGCCTTTGACTGATAAGAGGTAATGGGGTTAGGAAAATTTCCCCGTCAGAACGGCAAACTGTTTTGGGTAGCTGGAATTGAACAAGGCTTGAATACCAAGTGCACTGTAGTAATATTAAACCGATGGTATCACTACGCGAGACGGCTTACTTAATTTTCGTTATTAATAAATAGTACATACTAGTTATTAACATTGGGAACAAGTAACGGAATTGGGGTACGTTTCATCGGTCGGGTCTATTTCGTTCCAAAACCCTTTGTCGTATTTTCAAACTACTTAAGAACATCTACTATTGACTAACATGCTATGTCGCAATTTCGTTTGCCATGAATTGGCAGGGTAAAACTCCGATAATACTCAAAATGTTTGTTTGCTTCCAGGATTTTTCTTTTGCCTTATACTTGATCAAATAAGAAAATTTTGGCGTTAAGTCATTAGCGGTTTTCAGTAAACGACTGTTAAAGGAAAAAATAGTGTGAGTTCGACAACCTTGATAGATAAAGACTTTCAATAAAACGGCATGCAAGTGGCCATTCGAGAAATTATTCCATAATGATGACTCACAAACTTTGACTGGTGTTCACGTCCCGGAATCCGAGCATCGTCCATGGTGTCAGCAACTGCCCATTAGCTTTCACGGGACCGATCAATCCCTGGAGAAAGTCACAGATTTTTTTGAGATAGGAGAAAGCAGGAGATGGGTTTTGTCAGGTCTCTCCTCCAAAAGATTGGTGTATTATGGATTACAAACCGAGAGCATCTTCACTTGGCTTATAATGTAAAAATTTATGATGACGATTGTGTCAAATCTGGCCATTAGCTTAAAAGTGAAAAAATCAAACACCAACAGGATTCTCGCATATATGAATCTACTTTCATACGAGGCAAACGTTTCCGGTAAATAAGGGATTTTATCACAAAGTGTGACATAAACAAATCAGATCAAACGTGATTTGAAACCTAAGCCGCTCTATACAGCTATGCATTCGCAAACGCGATTGAAGTGGCTTCAGACCGACAGTGTAACAAGCTCGTGAGTTGTCACCACCTTTGTCTGCCTGTTCCGCATGTATGCTTTCGCATGGTCGCATGCATTGATGGCTTAAGTCACTGCCACCTCGGGTGAAGTAACTTTCACTTTTAACGGTGCATGAGTTCAGTGCTACACCTTCTCTCGCTAAGCACTTTTCGCTTTCAGGCACTCTCGAGCATAGTCAGGCTAAAACTCCGGTGATTCAGGGAACAATACACTATCCCTCGACTAACCGGGTGTTCTTCCTGATCCATACCGGGTGCGCGAGAACACACGGGAGAACTAGAGATCGGATCGTTGTCGCAGATCGCGTAATTGCATCCGCCTATCTCTAAATGATGGTTCTTCGCAGTGATGCGAATTCAATTATCTAAGAAAAGGTCGAACAGCGTTACTCCGGAAAAAAGGATTCATTCAACCCACCTTGATGTCACGTTGCATATCATCTCCAATGTTCTTATGGCCTCTATTTTCAATCAGAATCATGAGGACGTCCTGCGGAGAATGCTCGTCGAGATGGATCCTGCAGGATTTTCCCTTTCTGTATACCGTGGCATGATATTGCTGCAGTGGTAATCAAATAAGAAAAACAAAATAGTTTGCTAGAACGGACGGCTAATTACCGCAACGGTGGCAAAATTTGCGCATTGTGGAAGTTCACGGCCAAGCGCACTCAAAAAGGGAAGGGGGGGTCGGTGAGGCGGAAAATACAGCTCGAAATTTTTGTCTAACAGTCGTGAGGATTGTGAGTCGGTGTGTGTATGGTTTGATACAAACTGAACAAGAGGGCTGCATTTAACGTTGCAGAAGGTTTCATTTCGTGTGGAAAGAAACGCCATGCTCGTGAAACGCATTCACAATTTATTCAGGGTAATGACAATCGTGACCCAAATAATGCAAAATTATGATAACAATCTTATTTGATCGTCTTTTCAAGTTCTTTAGCTATCCCGTGCTTTTTGCTCTGTCTGGTGGAGATGACAGTACCCTGTTGCAACAATCGGCAGTTGATGACACCAACCTGTGACTACTCATGAGTAGAAATTACATAACCGTGATTTGGTAAACAAAGGAAATGTGAAAAGCTAAGCGTGAAACGAGAGAAGGAAAAAATCTCCCCTGAAACGAAACTATCCACTGGCCGGAAAAAAATACCGAATTATAAAGAAGCCATATAATTTGAACGATGATATTTTGTAATAGTTCTGAGAGTCCTAAAAGGGGCACACTGTTGATCAGTCCCAAGCAGGAGGAAACAGCTATCCGGTGCTCTTTGTCGGTCATCACAAAGATTTCCATCGCAAAAGGATTTGAGCACAGTTCTTGTGACGCCACTTTCCACACACACACACACACACACATACACACACACTCCTTCATTCCTCATTTCATGACTTTTTGGTCTCATGTTCTCACCTGTTTAATTCATTCTTGTAGAACATCTTTCACGTCGTGTCTATTTCACAAATTTTGCACCGTGTTTCCCTATCAATATTCTTGATCCCATAGCTTGTTGTTAACCAAAAAAACATGCACAAACGCACATTCAGTCAAAACACCAACTTCGACGTTACATTAGTCTATTGAATGATTGAAGTAAATATATATAAACGCGTCGAGTGACACATTGAAAAGTAAGTTCTTCACGTATACAATTTATTGTTTTTTGTTGTTTAGTTTCTCCAGCCCTCTAACAGAATAAACAATGCAATTTTCATGTATCTCACGAAATTGATTTTTCGCTTAGTTAAAACCCTATCATGGTAACCCAATCCGTATTCATCTGCAGTAAAAGTGTACCAAACTGTAAACTTTGCACACATTAGGTGAGCAGGATTTTATTTCCACATTCAAATGAATTCATAGACTGATTCCAAATGCATCAAACTGTATAGTGTGGGTACCACACAGATACTGTGAGAGGGTACAGTTTAACTTTCAAGGGGCATATTATGGAAATGATAAGTATAATGGAGCTTCAATTTTGCAGTGCACTAACGACAACTGTACTCCCGTAAAATGAAATGGGCGCAAAAGACTCAAGTGATCTTCAAGTGTTGTCAAGGAAAAAGGGCTTGTCAGTTCCAAAATTCATAGTCTAACAGATGCCCTAGTCAACGTGCGCGTTTATAAGCGGGCAGATGCAGCTACACTCGGGCACTGGTGTGTCAATCAATGACTGTCCATCCGTGGATGATGAGAATTATCGTGGTAAATAATTCCGGGTCGTTTAGACATTTTCCGCTCGTTCGGTGCGCCTAACTCTACAACTAAATCCAGAACTTCAATTGCCACTGCTCGCCTCTAATTAATTTAAACAATCAAACCAAAATCACAGCGTTAATCATTGTGTCCCAGGCCGTTTCACTTCGTCTTAACACGGGTATGCTGCAGCTTAATTTCCATCATCATCCGTGTGTAAACAGCGGCACAGCAGCTTATCCCCATTCAATCACTCTAGTTGTTGCCGAAACAAGTTTGTTGCGTCATGAAAAAGCGCGACCTTTACTTATCTAAGAACATGTAATTTCGTACTATGTGATGTGGACTAGTTAAACCGCGAGATGCGCGTATACCGATACAGCAAACGTGTCCAGGATACGATGAGCAACAATGTGTTTTGGCTCGCGTTAGAAAACAATTAGTATTCGATCGCTTAAATGCAAAGCACTGCCCACGCTTG